ATTATATATATATTATATATTTTTATATATATATATATTATATATTTCATATATATATATATATATATATATATCAATTTCCAACTCTCGTTATATATTTTAATAAGTGTCATCAATTATGCCAGAAAAACCTAACCTATACGGCGACGCGGCCGACGAAAGTCCGCTCCAAAACTTTCGCGGAACCACCTCGTCAATTATCCGTCGCGTCGCGAATAACGCAACGTGTGCATACGTCACTCTTGGGAGCGAAGCTAACTTACGTGAAGATCGCTAGCCCACGGCCCTGCGTGGGTGATCCGCGCGCCCTTGAAGTCGACGTATCGACCCTACCGCTGCGCGATTCGCTCGCCTCTCCGCCGCGGGTGATACGGCGGCGTGATACGGTGCCGATGATGCGACACGATCGGCCGATTCGCATGCTTCGCTACGTGGTAGCACGCCGAGGCGCCTTCGCGGATCCGCCTCGCGAAAATAAATCTGGAGACTGACGAAAAAACTGTGGGGAACACCTGGGGAATCGCTCCGCGTAGCGTCGCGTGTCCACGTTCGAGCCGAAAGCACGTCAGCTCGCGCCTGCCGATCGACACCACGTCACGACCCTCCTTCGTCACGCACATCCCCCGACCACCCCGAACTGTACCCCGCGATGTACGTGGACGACTACGGTACTCTTTTGCAGTTGCGCTCTATACCGTCATACCGTGTCCGTCACTATGGCGCTACTTTTGCAAACACGAAACCGAGAGTGTCCCATTACGCTGCGATTGGATACAGAAACTTTGATAGCTTCGTCGTAAACTATAATTATGTTATAATTGACACTTGGAGGTTCCTCTGATTAATTGTATCTCTCGGTTATTCTCCGTGATATTCACCCGTTTGAAGCAATGAGCTCTCATCGAATTTCGGTTCCCCGTAAAAATTTTACTATATAAAAAGTAATATAAATATATATATATATATATATATATATATATATATATATATATATATACATATTTATAAGTAGATCGGAAACAAAGCAATCAACATCGCTCATCTCGAGATTAGAGTTGTAAGAATACTAGGCCAGTGCGACGACGTACGAAAAGATGCGGATGTTCCTTCGAGAGATAGCGACGCACACAGAGATCAAAATCAATCGCCAGAAGATATCTGCGTCGAGATAGATCTGATTTCCTGCCGGTGATAAAGACTGAATTGAGAGTAAAAAATTAATTAAAATTTAAAATGAAGTTAGTAATATACGATGTAATGTGTAAATGAAGTTAGTAATAAAAAATCATAAGCGGTTTTTAAATATCAGGAAACTAAAGACATAAATAGACAATATAAAAAAGTTATTATGATCATGAGCAGTTTTCATTTTCCGATTAACTTGATTGATGATTTACACTTAACCTGATGATAATATAAAAATTTTCTTTTTCTGTTTATGATTAATCGCCGAACCTGACGATTTTGTAGTGGTTTGTAGTGGTAATTTTAAAAGTTAATCATCAGGTTAATGATTTAATATCACAGGTAAAAAAAAAAATCACAATTTTTATATTATCACCGGATTAAATCTAAACCATAGGTTAACTATGGTGATGAAAAACCGGATTTAAGTATTATATATAAGGAAAAATCCCGAGTTCGAATTCCATAGTCAGTTTCGTTAATTTCACCTACAATAACAACACGCGCTCGCATCCGGTTCAAAAGACAACCAGTATCAGCAAGGAACCGGTCGGTCGGACAACAGGCAAGAGGTGCCCCAGAGCCAGGATTATCGCGGTGTGATCGGTGACCGAACCGCGGAGAGGTCATCGCCAGTTATACGCGCCTTTTCCTTCACGAGCTCCATCAGCTCGCCGAGAGCGAGCGACGTCGCGAGGATGACAAAGTTGGCCGGCGGATGCTGCCCCGTCATGGTGGGGCGTCGGCCCTCTTGGAAACTTGCCATCTCCGAGAACGAGCCGATACACCATCATTCCTCTAGTGCCACTCGTCCCGCGACGTCGATACACCTATCTCACCTCCATAGCGCGATCGTGTTCTCGAGTGAAGGCAGACGCGACGCGTGCGAGCGGGGCGCACGCGAGTAGACACGCAGAAATCGCGGTCACCGCGACGGACACCTGTTGCGGCATCGATCTGGGCACAGTCGACGCCGAGCAGTCGCGATCGCGAGGTCCGGCTGGATTCCGCGGTGGTTCGTGTGTGAATAAACGCCGAGTGGATAAACATATCCGATAAATACCGTATCACCGTGCAGCGAAGAGCGGGTTTCGTCGACGCGGTTCTGTTTTTGAATTTGAACGCGGGCTTTCGGTATCGCGTTTTTTTTTTTCGGATACGGTGAGCGTCAGGGGGGATGCGCTCGGGAACGGTAATTTGAATAATAAATCGGAAAATGTTGATGAGAAATGTGTAAAAGAAGAAAAAAGGAGAGACAGAATGTTTCTTTCTTTATAATTGATTTTTTGCGATTTTGTTTTATCTGATATATGTATTATCATTTGACAACTGACAGTGAAATAACTCGACGGAAAAAACAGTTTTATTTCTTTAGGATATAATAGAGTTTTTTTCCATCTTTCTTACGATTAGATATTGCTTTGATCTTATGATATTGTTTTTTATCTATGGTACCGATATTATAATGCTAAAAGTGATTATCAGTAATTATATTGGTTTACTGTGGCATATAATCATTTGTTACACAAAACATAGTTAGCTATTACTATTTATTTTTTGTATTTATTTTGTGTATTAATGTGACTTAAATATAGTGATGAGCGACAATCATTGTAATTTATCTATGTGGCATAATAAAATATGAATGTTATCAGCTATTTTATAACGCTCAAAAGTTTATCATATGTCATAATTGAAAAAAATATTAATACAAATATTAATGTTTTTATATTTGAAATTTTAATATATTTTGAATTAATTTAATATTTACAGAGATAATATAACTAATTAATTAACATTTAAAATAATTAATTCCCTTAATTTTCAATATCCATTAAAAGTAATCAAGAATCGTTTTCTAAAATTTTTATTTTAATTATAAATATCATGTATGTTATTAATGAAAAATTCATATATCTGTAATTTAAAGATGATAAATATATACATTGCTTTATATAATTTTTTTAAATAGAAATATATCAGGTCATTACTTGGACAGTAGCAAGAGATGTAAAAAATACATGCAAAGATATATCATAATATGATAAATATTAAGATTTGTGACGTGATTAGATATATTTATCTTTTTATTTTGTAGATACGAAAATCGGCTACAGATTATACGAATTTAAAGAAATTTGACGACTCAGTCAACGAGCCAAAAAAACAACAAAATTAAAATTAAATCGTTAACAGAGTGCATTCGTTAACAGTAAAAATGTCGTTAAAACTAGCGGACGATCAGCGATTTGCATTAATGAAGGTAAGTCCTGAAATATAATTTATTTTATATTTATGACATATAATTTATTTTAGAAAAAAGAAAAAGAAAAAAAGATTTCCGTGAAACGCTTAGAATAGGCGACGACAATGTTATTATTTACAATTTTTTACGTTTCTTTTCTTTTGCTGAAAAATAATTTTTTATCATAAATAATATATTAAAAACAATTAAGCTTTTAATCATTTATTAGATTTATATCAAACTAATTTCAGTATGTACTATTAAGCATGATATATAAAAAGCATATTTTTGTTGCATATACAGGCAAGAAAAAAATATATTTTGCGTTTTAATTTTTTTATTACGAATAATATCTATGAATATTTTTATAATATATAATCAGCGGAGCACATTGTGTGATGATTAAAAAGAGGGAAAGAATAAACAGATTAATTACAAAGTAAAAAACATTTGTGAGGATTTGTGAAAGTTCAAACAACTGTCGTTGACTTTTAAATTCCCATAAATTCTCACATCGAAAGTTCAATGATTCTATGAGTTAATATTAATCATACATTCTCAGAGTGCGTGTTATTGGTACTTGCAGTCGAACAAAGATATCGCTTCTACTTTCTTTTAATGATAAACGGCAAAGCGGTTTGAAATAATAAAATTTCTTGTTCATTAAACGTGAAGAATATGTAAAGAACAAGTAAATATTTAATTATTAAAATTTTTTTCTGAACTTTTTCTGAACCAGATCTTATTTTCATAATGAACTGAATAAGTGTTTTTTGAAATAAAAATGCAAATATCATGACGCTGATATTTAAATAAAATGCAAAAAAATTTATGTAATTATTATGTAACACTATTATGTAACACATCGATAGAATTATGCATTTTTTTATTATTTATAAGTTTCTTATTTTTTTTATTATTTTACGTTTAATTTTCACGTAAAAATTATAGGGTAATATTGTATGAAAAGTACCATTTATCTGTGGAAAATTGTAAATTTTCTTTAATCCAACCTGAGACAGTTCAAAAATATTCATTACATTGGCAAGAATATCAATATTTCAAATACAAGTCGGACAATATATAGTTACAATATTGTTATAATTTTTGTTAATTATCATGTTAAAGATTGACATTTGTATACCTGATAAATTAATATGTTGTTGAAAGTTCTTATTAAAATGCAAATTTATCTGCGATTTGAATATCTAACAAAAATCATGTTAAAAAATACGTAATTTTTTTTAAACATTTAATTTTCTTTTTCTAGACCAGACAGAAAAAAGTAAATATTAAGTAAAGAGAGATTTGATTTAATGAGCAATGACACAAAATTTGATAGAAGATACTAAATAGAATAATAGAAGATACTAAAAATAGCAAACTTTTTATAGAGATAAACTAGATAGAAGTAGATAATAATTTAGAAATAATTCTTTTTATTGAAACAAATGCTTAAAAGGAAAGCGAATTTAATTAAAAGGTGTTATACTGATAAACTTTACTAACCGAATTAACGTAAAAATAAATGCAATATAAGAATGCTTATAAGATGCTTTTAAGAATACATCTGAATACATTTTACACGCAAGAAGTCCGTACTGTTCAACAGGCTGTTTCAACAGGTTGCACAAGGAGTATTACTGATATCCTTGAAAGAAATTATATCCATTACAACGGTTTGAGAAAGATTTTCTGAGAGGGACCTGGTTAATCCAGTTTTACCCCGACACATTTCTCAACACGATTACATACGATTTCTCAATACGATTAAGAATTTCGTTATGCGCGATACGCCATAAAGACTTCAATGCGCGTAAAAAGATTGTACTGTACTGCTTTTGCAATCTCGTGATCATTCACCTCCGATATCTCGAACGGACAGCTGAGCTATTTATTTCAAGCAGCGAGATGCAGCGGATCGCGAAGAGATGGAATTTTCCGATTGCGGACGTGAGAAATGAGCTTCCGATTTGCGATCTAAGTTCTTGTTCCTATATGCTACATCGACTCGTTTAAATCAATCGAAATTCATCGAAAAGAAACGAGATAAAAAAAAAAAAACCATGATTCGATGTCAGCTTCGACAACATTCTCTGTTTATATAGAATTGTCCGACTTATTAGGAATTTTTTCATCAAATTGAGAAAACCATCACGAATAAAAAAGAAAGGTGGGGGGGGGGACGTAATGTATGCATAGAAAGATTTATTAACCTGTCTGGTTTCAATTAACTTGCATTTATTCCAATTATCGGATGACTAAGTTAAATTCGTTACTTTTCCTCTCGCCCTGATCGAAAATGTCACCGGTAACAAACGACACGGCGACACTTTCATCACGGGCGCCATGGCTGCGAATAATCGGGCACACGCGACGACACACTTAAAAAGGGTCCTTGATACACGTGTAAAATCCTCCATCATGAATTACGACATCGGATGCGTGCAAAAATAAACGAACTATCTCTCGCCGCGCGTAAAAAGTCCCTCGACTCGGATGAAGCAACGATACGAAGACACGTACCGTAGACACGTTTGTAGTAATTTGCAGTAAAAGTTATTAGCTCAATGGACAGGTAGAGTAAGCATGAAAATGATCGCGTCGAGGGAAATGCAAATCTTAATAAATACACCGTTGATTTTACAAACGATATTCGCAATTAGCGGTTTGCCGAGGTATTTCTGCACGGTGACATGTTTGGCATTTCACAGAAATCGCGAACGATTAAGTGAACGTAATGTGAAATGAAATAAAATATTAACTTTGTAAAATTAAATAACTAAAAAGATAGAGATGGAAATTGGACATTGATGATTTGCCGCAAGGTACGAGGAACTTTCACGCAAATAAATTGTATAACAACGGAACGTACAACCGCTTTTGTTTAAAAAAAAAAAACTATCATAATTAATTACGTAAACTATAAATTGTACGTACTCTCACTACATTTTCGTGAAATGTAAAAGAGAATGAAAATACTCGGTGCTATTATTTATCGTTAATTCTACTAAACGCACGCACGATGTTTTTGTCAGATGTTCAACGCACATGTGACGTCAGCGTTACAAGACTGCGCGTATATTTTATTTAATTTCATTATCTTTTTAAGATCGCGCGTGCATTAAAGAAATAAAAACTTAGATTTCTAGTATTTCCAAATCTCGCCGTCTGTAAATATCTCAATTTGTTGCATTAACAAAACGGTAATTCTATACTCATGTATTACGAATTCTCAGTCTTACATTATTATTTATTACATTATTATTTGTTGTATTGCGAATTGAAATGAGGAAAAATTTTCTCGTTTTATCAATTCCTCGAAATAATAACAATGGTTGATAATCGACAAAAAGTATTCGTATTTTTCTCCGTTTTAACGTAAGATCATAATATATAATCGTCATTTCATGAAGTGTAATGATAATAAAGATGCACGATGTTAGCATTTATTGTTGATTCTAAGGAAAACACGCACGATGTTTTTTGTCATATATTTAATGCGCGTGATGTCAACTACAAGACTGAACTCGTATTTTATTTAAGATTAATTTCTCTAATTTTATTTTGATATTTGTTAAATTTGATTTTTATCTTTATTGCTTAATAGCCTTTTAATAACTTTTCAATAATGAAGCTAGTACAGCTCAAAATAAATTATAACAAAACGTCGCTTCTTCGTAGAACTCTGATACTTTCCACTAGACTGCGATATTTTACGCAGTAACGATGATTTTTTTTCCAAACAAGCGTTTTGTAGTTTATCCGCGAGAAAGTTCCTCGCACTTTGTAATAAATCCTTATATTCTAATCTGTTACTACTTTTAATGATTCTTATTCTCGGTGCAAAAAGCGACGCAAATTTTATTCGAGAACAATCGCCACACTTTTACTTTTCACGCTATCGCTATCGTTCTACAGTAAGTAAGTCCCCGCTACGTAAGTCGACCATGACGCAGATCAAACTCACGTGACCTTTATTCAATATTCAATAAATCTTCATAAATAAATGCATTTGTTAGCATGAAAATGTAGGCGTTCTCAAAATGTTTGTCTTTCTTGAATTGCATTGTGCGATTAATAAAAAGAGAATAAAAAAATGTGACCACATTGATAGCATCTGCAGATTCTAGCAGATTCTATCGGTTTCTTCGATTAGTCTTTCATGCTCGACACATTAGTGTCGGTCCACAATAAGTATTTAATCTTTAAGTCGTAAGAAATTGACCAATCATAGTCGATTATTCTTTTCATATTCGATTATAATTGGTCAATTTCTTACTTCTTAAAGCTTAAATCATTTATTGTGGACCGACACTTATGAATCCATAAGAGGAAAAAACTTTTCGGTCAATATGAGTGTTGAGTGTCTGTAAGATAATACATTAAACTGCTTGATATATATATATATATATATATATATATATATATATATATATATATATATA